AGTAGTGTGATCCCTTAGCTTGATTTTTAAATTATTTTATTATTATGCAAAGTTAGACAACTATGAGGCACTATAATAAAAGAGTGCGTATGCACCTTTTGAAGCATGATTTTTGTATCATTATTGGCAAGAGCCACCCTGCGGGTTAGAAAAGTTACATATTTGTGTTTTTAAAACTCATCTTATCAGAAGGGACTCTGACTTTGTTTTTTCTGTCAATTCGTGGAGTGTTGGAAAGTTTTGGCTTTAGTGGTAGTCGTACAACGTACCGGCCATTATTTGATCGAGTAGTTGCGGCTTTGAAAAGTTGGTTATGTTACTAGTCCACTTAGAATCCAACCAAATATAGGGTTTTGGGCTAGAAGGGTGGTTGATATTTTTTCAACATCTTCAAGTATTAGTTGCGGTATAAGGTCGCTGCCTATTAGAATATCTATTTGAGCGGGGGTGTTGCAGTTAGGATTTGCTAGCTTTAGGTGTGAAACCATTTGCCAATGCTTGTTATTTATGTGATAGCTTGGAAGCATGTTAGTAAGTTGCGGCAGGACTATAGCTTCTGCTACAAATCGCTTATCCGCTTGAGGGGAATAAGTGCTATAAATGATCGTTGTGATCCTTGGTCTATTAAGGCCCTAAGCTTAAAAAGTTCTCCTCGATGATCGATGGAGTAGTAGTACCTGTGGGAAGTAGTACCCTACCTTGGTTTGCGTTTCAGATTTTTGTTCCTTTGAGCAACTTGGTGTCTTTTGACATTTTTCGCGATTTTAATTTTTGGGAGTTGTTGTTACCACTAAACCTGTGGTTCTTTTCTTATAAGCGCTTCTTTGGGGTGATATGGGAAATTTGCTGTATTGAAGCATTGAGTCGTGTCTTTTGTGACAGTATAAGCAATTTAATTTGCTTTTTCAATTTTTATATGTATGCGCATGTGAAAAGCAATTATACAAAGTCTTTTTGCTTTTAGAAAATTGTTTCGGTCGATAATATTCAATTTTTGGAATCTCTCGCAAGATTTGAGCTTATGCCCACCTGTACATAGTTCGCATGACGTTTGTTTATACTGTTCGGATTTGAACGTTTGATTTTTGAAGAAGCTTCTATTTATTTGTAGTTGCTACTGGCTTGGGGTCGGTGGAAGCTTTTATTTAGGTCGTGTTAAACAATTTTCGTTCTGACCATTTTTTAATCTACCCTTTCTGTGATTTCGTATTGGGTAATTAGAAAGTCTTTCATTTGTAGCCACGTTTGGCATTTTATTCGAGATGAGAGCGATTGCTCCCACAAAAGTAACGATTTTTCTGGTAAAGCGGCGGTGCATTTATTATCCAGTATTGGATCCTAGCTGTCTGTGGAAATATTTTGTGTCGATAGAACCGACAAGCAATTAGAAACAGTGAATTGAAATTTTATAAATTCTTCACTTGTTTCTTTTTGAATTTTAGGCAAGTTTATTAGTGTCGTTACTTGTTTATCGACCAATATTCTTTCGTTTTCATATCTAGATTTTAGAGCTTCCCAAGCCAAATTGAAATTGTCGTCATTAAGTGCGAACTGTTTGACTGTTTTGTTTTGTATCTAAGGTGATACAATTTTTGTCCTTGTGATAATTTTGGATGGTTGAGGTATACGGCTGTAAACATGTCCGGAAGGACGGTCAGTCTTCATAAATTCCATAAAATGTTTCTGAGTCACACACGGGCACCTCGAGATGGATGTCTGAACTTACCCCTTGACTTTGTACTTGTGGCAGCTCTACTCTCGGATGTGGAGTAGGTGCAATTGCTTTTATTAGCTTTAATTGATTGGAGATCATAACTTTTGTAGCTTCATACTGGTCTAAGCCGTGATTTTAAAATTTTCTGGTAGATCGGAGTCACCAGTTTCTATTATGGCGTCTTTTGTAGAGATTTTTATTCTTAATCTCTAAGAGCGATTCAGAATTTTCTTGAATTGGCGGTGATAAAAATCTAGTGCAGTATCTTAATAAACTGTCACTTTCTGAAACAAATTTAGCAACCTGTTTTGAGCGTATAGCTCCTACAGGTGCATTGTGATTTTTATTATCACATTCATTATTCGTTTTTTTATTAAATACTTCAATGAATTATTATTATTTTTTCCGCGTAAACTGCATTTACTTGTGATATGATTTTGTTGAGATTTTATTTTGAATGTATTCCTTTATTTAATTTAATTATTAACAAGTAAGAAGGGCTAAGTTCGGATGTAACCGAACATTCTATCCTCTCGCAAAGTCAAATGGTATACTCGTTTTAGATTTCTTTGTGAATCTTGCCGCCTTGTTCTATGTTGACCGATATTTTCGGTAAAAAGTCAACTATAGGTACTGGGGTCCACATATTCAGTACCTAGGGACTTGAACAGTTTTCGTTCAATTTAGATAATTTTTGGTCATAAGGTGGCATACTTTAAACGCATTATTCACGCAAAGTTTTACTCCGATACAATCATTGTTGCTTGATTTGCATACTGGAAAGTGAAAGAATCAAATGGAATTTAAAATGGTGTTATATGGGAAATAGGCGTGCTTGTAGTCCGATTTCGCCCATTTTCGCACTATAACATAGAAATATGAGAGGAATATTATGTATACAATTTGGTTGAAATCGGTTAAGCGGATCCCAAGATATGGGGTTTCACCCAAAAGTAGGCGGTGCCACGCCCACTGACTAATTTTGAACGCGGTTCCTATAGTCATCTCATACCATACCATAGATAAAACTTAATGTCTCAGACTTGTTTAGTGCTTGGTTTATCGCGCATTTAGTATTTTTTAACAGTACCGTTATATGGGGATTGGGGGGGGGGGGGAGTGTCACAGTAAAGTGACACAGAGTGGCGCTAAAAACATTTGCTTCCAGTGAATTTTGTTATTATACCTTTAGCAGTTTAGGAGATATGCACATTAAACCTATTAGGGGCGGGACCACGACCACTTAAAAAAAAAATTTTAACTGCAGATACTCCTCCTTAATGTGATCCTGTGTACCAAATAACAATCTTGTATCTTATTGCGGAGCTTAGTTATGGCAATTTATTTGTTTTTGAGTAATGGCGTTTTTGGGTGTGGCAGTTGTCCGATTACGCCCATCTGCATTACCAACCGTCTTACGGTACCATGAAACATGTGTACCAAGTTTCATAAAGATCCTGATCATTTATATATATATATAACTCTATATCTAACTCGAATAGTTTTTGGAGATACAAACAACCGTTAGGTGAACAAAACTATTATACTCTGCAACAACAAGTTGCGAGAGTAGAAAAACCGCAACTTTTCTTTAATAATAATTTTTATATCCTTATTTTGGGGTTATATAGGTACACTCTAATATAATATATGGACTTGTTTGTACGCAGTAGTTGCGCATTTAAAGATTACTTATTTACTATAATATATTAAAGTAATACTAATTTAATAATACCCGGTGTAGGGTAAAAAAAGAAACGCAAATGTTATGCCGTATATTTGTATGGATTGTGTTTATATTCTTTCCCAATAGAAAACGGAACAGAAAAATAGATATTTTCCGTTGTCTCGTTATTGTTATGAGTAAATATGTAATTTAATATATAAAATATTTGTATGCAATATTAATTGTTATGCATTACGTATAAGTGGAATTTGTATGTATTATATATATACAATGTACAATATATGGTATGTCAATGTGCATATATGTATGTTTTTTTTCTCTTTATGTATTCTTTAAGCAATCCTGCTACTCTTGTAGAAGAAGGGGAAGGTGTTTGTATACACAAAGCTAATCATTAGTATTATATTATATTAGAGTTTATTGTTTTTTTTTGTATTTTGGCGCACACTTTTATACCCTGAACAGGGTATATTAATTTTGACACGAAGTTTGTAACACCCAGAAGGAAACGTCGGAGACCATATAAAGTATACAAGTATATATAAATGATCACCGTGACGAGCTGAGTTGATTTAGCCATGTCCGTCTGTCTGTCCGTCCGTCTGTCCGTCTGTATATACGCGAACTAGTCCCTTAGTTTTTGAGATATCGATCTGAAATTTTGCACCTGTCCTTTTCTAACAAAGAAGATGCTCATTTGTCGGAACGGCCGATATCGGACCACTATAGCATATAGCTGCCATACAAACTGAACAATCGGAATCAAGTGTTTGTATGGAAAACTCTTTCATTTGACGAGGTATCTTCATGAAATTGCTTAAGGCAACAAATTATTCTCCACAGAAATTGGTCAGATCAGATCACTATATCATATAGCTGCCATACAAATTGAACGTTCGGAATCAAGTTCTTGTAAGGGGCCTTTGTATTTGTGAAGGGTATTATAGCTTCGGCGCAACCGAAGTTAACGTTTTTTCTTGTTTTAAATTCGTTTGTTAATATGTTTTTTTGTTTTTTACGGCACTTGTTAGGCCTATGTGTTAGATTATTTGTGGATTTTTATGTTTTGAAGTTGGCTTTTTACTTTTTTAAATATGTATATATGTAGCTAAGCATGTACATATGTATGTACATATATTTTTTTGTTTGTGCTTTATTGTTATAATAACCTAAATATACATATTTATATATATTTTTTTATACATATTTATCTATTTTTTGTCACCGTATTTGTTTTTGGTAAATATATGTATTTATTATTTTGCACCGCACTTTTGGTTATTGTCACAGTACTTCAATCTTTTCGTTAATTTATATTATATATGTATGTTTATGTTTATTTTGTTTGGTTCACTGCACTTGTGTATATGTAACTAAATTTTATTTTTATTTTTATATGTACTTTGGTATAACCTCACTTTTTCTCACTGATTATTCGTTATTTATATATTATATATATATATTTTGTATGTTAATAACCCACAGTGCCGTTCTGTGAGGCTTAAAGATCCATAAACAAAATTGTACCCAATGTATTAGGGGTCACACCAAACTTTGTCCGCACTCACAGCTTGCACAATTATAAAAGGGACTGAAAATGCTTGTTTATTTGGTTGCACAATTTATATTATTTTTCGAATTGGATTAATGTGATTTTACATAATCAAGTTCTAAAGATATACATTTTTATTAAGAATTATCGGAATAAGGGTCGCTGAATGTAGCGTCGACACGTACTGTCGCATCGAATGTTGACGTGTCGCTCAGGCCGGTTGACGAAACGAATTGTTTTCGCGAATGATGATCCAATTTCTTTTGTATAGTTGGTGAGGTCGGATGTCATCATATGGTGTGGGGCGTGCCATTAGTTTCCCGGGTGGAGCGGTATAATCTACTCTTCCTAGAAATACACTTTTTGAGTAAAATTACATTTTTGCAGCGTGGTGCACAAAAACTGGTATTCATAATATTTAAAACCTCCTTAACAATCATAGATACATACATATCGCAATCCCTAAACTAAAATCATTTAAAGGCTGTATGCCAAGCGGTAAATTGAAAATTCTGACAGATGAAATCGAAATTTGGCACCGATCTCCCGAGCTAGGTAACATTTTGGCAATTTATAATTGTAAATACAGATATGCATTCAAGAAGAAACGAATTTATGTTCTTATTTATTCCATTCAATACAGTGTTGGTCCCAACATTTTTATCATCGTAATATGAATCAAAACCAATCTCCATTTTATTAATTATTTACCTTTACGTGAACACTAACTGAATTGAATTCTTTAAAATTTTCAGCTGTTTAGTTATCCGTCAAATCTTCATTTTTAGGTTGGCCACACCAATGAAACATCAACTGAAAATTGTTGAAGTTCGTAATACCAAAACAAGGTTCGGTTGATCTGAAGTTGAATTGCTTCAACTTTAATTGAGCTGAGTGTCATACTAAACATGTACGTTATAATATATGTCATTCAAGTTTTGTCCAAAACAGATTTGCGTAGTTGTCAGAATTGCAAACCAATTTTGATTTTCAATGGCGTCACAGAATCTGATATGATTTTCGTATTTTTGGACATATGCAAAACCAATATTAGAATCGACTGTTTACTATTGTGACAAAACTTGCAAATGAAACAATTTGGAAGCGTTTGATAAATTTGAAATACCGAATAAAGTTCGAATTAGTCTATTTAATTTTATTGGAAGAAAAAAGCAACTAAAAAATAAAATTTATTAAAAGATCACAGTAATCCACTTGCTCCACTTTGCTTGCATTTACTTGTATAAAATCATACATGCTAACTTTAAAGATTTATATCACATTATCGAATGAATAAAGATGCATTTAGGTGTTAAATTATGTTTATTACGTTTTGTAAATCCTCTTAAAATATCTGAATTTTTTCCATAAACTCAATAATTATGACATTTTGTGTTTTATTCTTATGTTCTTATTCTTCTCTATAGAAATAACAAAACCAATAAAATTACTACATTAATAGGTTTCAATTCTGATTTCGACAACTATCAGATTCTACAACACCCCTGATTAATTCGTAAATATTCACTTGTATGTGCTATTATTTATTGCATTCAATACAGAAGCATTCAATACAGAAGCCTCTTACTGAATTTTTATTATTTAAGTTAGAAATAATTAAAACAAGTAAGGAAGGGCTAAGTTCGGATGTAACCGAACATTTTATACTCTCGCAAAGTCAAATGTTATACTCGTTTGAGATTTCTTTGTGGATTGGCTGATATTTTCGGTAGAAGGCCAACTATAGGCACTGGGGTCCACATATTTAGTACTTGGGGGCTTGAACAGTTTTGGTTCGACTTAGACAATTTTTGGTCGCAAGGTGGCATACTTTAAACGTATTATTCACGCAAAGTTTTACCCCGATATAATCATTGTTGCTTGATATGCATAGTGGTAAGTGAAATAATCAGATGGAATTTAAAATGGTGTCATATAGAAAATAGGCGTGGTTGTAATCCGATTTCACCCATTTTTGCACCATAACATAGATATATAAAAAGAATATTATGTATCAAATTTGGTTTAAATCGGTTAAGCAGGTCCCAAGGTATGGGTTTTCACCTAAAAGTGGGCGGTGCCACGCCCACTGACTAATTTTGAACGCGGTTCCTATAAATTCATCTCATACCATCCCAGAGATAAAATTTAATGTCTCTGGCGTGTTTAGTGCTTGAGTTATAGCGCTTTTAGTAGTTTTTAACAGTACCGTTATATGTGGAGTGGGCGGAGTTTCACACTGTGGTTAGAGGTTCTAAAAAAATTTGCTTCCAGTGAATTTTGTTATTATAACATTAGCGGTTTAGGAGATATGCACATTAAACCTATTAGAGGAGGCTAATTTAACTGCAGATGCCCCTCCCTAATGTGATCCTGTGTACCAAATAACAGTCTTATATCTTATTGCGGAGCTTAGTTATGGCAATTTATTTGTTTTTGATTAATGGCGTTTTATGGGCGTGGCAGTGGTCCGATTACGCCCATCTGCAATACCAATCGTCCCACGCTACCCAGAAACATGTCTACCAAGATTCATAAAGATATCTCAATTTTTACTCAAGTTACAGCTTGCACGGACGGACGGACAAACAGTCAACCGGATTTCAACTCGTCTCTTCATCCTGATCATTTATATATATATAACCCTATATCTAACTCGATTAGTTTTAGGTGATACAAACAACCGTTAGGTAAACAAAACTATTATACTCTGTAGCAACAGGTTGCGAGAGCATAAAAATATTATTGTGGTTGTTTAACAGATCTAAATGTACATTTATTTCAGAGTAGCAGAAACATTTCAATTGACTAAAGATTTCATATTGTGAGAGTATCCAAGAAAGAGCATGGTCTACGTTTACGTTTAAAAGAAAGGTGTCATTATATGTAAAGAAAAAACATTTCATAAACAGTGATTTGATCTCTACTATTATTAGTAACTAAAATAAACGCTTCATTAAAAATTTAAATTTCATTAGTTTGAATTTTAAAGAGGTGTTCAAGCGTCTCTCCCATGTATACACCCGGATCGCGTGGGAAGTGAGTAGGTTATGACCGGTGACTAGTCTTCGGTAGTCTTTTCGAGACCGTGTGAGTAGATAACTTGAGTGTTTTCTTTCCGCAAATTAACCTAACGCTGCCAATCTTGCAGCTGATTTGGCTACCGTACTTTCCTCTGCAATTAATAATTGATGACAAGTTGGGTAACCTTTCAAGTGCAGCCGTTGGCGTGGTCCTTAGTGCTTCTGTTAGACAGAGAGCCATTGTATTCGCTTCAACGGTTTCCTGTATCAGATTTTGCTGGCAGCGGTCCACCCCACCATAGCACCGTAAAGTAAGTTTGACTTGATTACCACTGTGTAACACCAATTCATAAGGACAAGTGATAGCCCTATATGGACCCTAGCATCTTCCACTTGACTTTCCACCTCTAGATCTCTCTCTGTATATAAGGTTAACGAGTAAAGTGCAGTTTTGTTCCTAATGTAGGCATGGAAAGATTCTTTTCGAGTGTCTTCAGAAGGAATGAAAACTATTTTATTTATAATTTTAAACTGTTTTAATCAGTTATTTTATACAAATACATAGAATGATGAAAAAGCTGAAGTTGAATTGCTTCAATTCAACCGAGTGGAGTTGAAAACCGTAATAGGGGTATAAACCTATTTTATCTTCACCAGAAATGAAAAGGACTTCGTTTTTGACTACTACTTTGTTTGTTATACAACTGCATCCGAAAAAAACGTTATCTTTAAACGGTCGAAGGACTGTTGCGTTATAATTTATAGGATAAACGACAAATCCCTGACCCGTCTGTATAACAATTTGATCGATTGTGGTCACAGTCAACAATTTAAGCCCATAATAACACGTATTTAATAGAATTTAGTATTTAAGTAAAATAACATACAAATGATTAATTTGTGCATTCCATGTTTAGGACATTAGAATTTTTATCTGCAAATATAAATAATAAATTCTTTAGAAAGAATTCAACTACATACCTTTTTTATAGACGCATTTTGTTGGTTTTGATTAATAAAATAGTAAAATATTTAATAAACATATCAGAGAACGCTTTCCTCTGAATTCATAAAAATTTTATATATAAACAAGTAAGGAAGGGCTAAGTTCGGATGTAACCGAACATTTTATACTCTCGCAAAGTCAAATGGTATACTCGTTTGAGATTTCTTTGTGGATTGACTGATATTTTCGGTAGAAGGTCAACTATAGGCACTGGGGTCCACATATTTAGTACTTAGGGGCTTGAACAGTTTTGGTTCGATTTAGACAATTTTTGGTCGCAAGGTGGCATACTTTAAACGTATTATTCACGCAAAGTTTTACCCCGATATAATCATTATTGCTTGATATGCATAGTGGAAAGTGAAAGAATCAGATGGAATTGAAAATGGTGTTTCATGGGAAGTAGGCGTGGTTGTAGTCTGATTTCGCCCATTTTCGCACTATGACATAGAAACATAAAAAGAACGTTATGCACCGAATTTGGTTGAAATCGGTTGAGCAGATCTCAAGATATGGGGTTTCACCTAAAAGTGTGCTGTGCCACGCCCACTAACTAATTTTGAACGCGGTTCCTATAAAGCCAACTCATACCATCTCAGAGATAAAATTTAATGTCTCTGGCGTGTTTAGTGCTTGATTTATCGCGCTTTTAGTAGTTTTTAACAATACCGTTATATGGGGAGTGGGCGGAGTTGCCACCCGATTTCAACTATTTTCACACCGTCAATAGAAGTGCTAAAAACATTTGCTTCTAGTGAATTTTGTTAATATAGCATTAGCGGTTTAGGAGATATGCACATTAAACCTATTAGAGGCGGGACCACGCCCACTTAAAAAAAAAATTTTAACTGCAGATGCCCCCACCTAATGTGATCCTGTGTACCAAATAACAGTATTGTATCTTATTGGAGAGCTTAGTTATACCAATTTATTTGTTTTTGATTAATGGCGATTTGTGGGCGTGGCAGTGGTCCGATTACGCCCATCTGCAATACCAACTGTCTCACGGTAGCAAGAAACATGTCTACCAAGTTTCATAAAGATATCTCAATTTTTACTCAAGTTAGAGCTTGCACGGACGGACGGACAGACGGACGGACGGACAGACGGACGGACGGACAGACAGTCACCCGGATTTCAACTCGTCTCTTCATCCTGATCATATATATATACATAACCCTATATCTAACTCGATTAGTTTTAGGTGATACAAACAACCGTTAGGTGAACAAAACTATTATACTCTGTAGCAACAGGTTGCGAGAGTATAAAAATATGGGCGTATCGAGAATCAGCAGGAAAAGTGTGAGTGGCTACAT